GAAAAATCCAATTTTCAGATGGGCTAAATTTTGGAAGACTGGCTCCGAGTGTGAATGATGACAAGGGGTACACAGGAATCCATATTGAAATACTGTTTCATAGTAACACACCTTAAGATCATTTGCCAGGCAGGCATCTCTCGTCTCGTGCCTTGGTCTGAAAATGTCACCTATCAGGTCTAGATTGATTAAAAAAATGTTGAAATTGTTGTAGAAACTTTAAATTCCTTTAATTAACCAATGTTACACGAATAGAAGAAACCATCAATACAAATAGTATGTAATCGCATTACCTCACGCATTAGTTTTTGACCCTTGAGTGCTATGTTAGTAATCAACATAGAAAAAGAACTCAGGGTTTCCTCACAGCTGGATGATCAGGTCACAAACAATTAATGTGTCCCTTTGTTGCTTTGTTGTAAAAAAGAGTTATTGCCTCAATGAGTGCAAAATCATAAACAGAGACTCAGTAGCAAAAAGAAAACAATGATCGCTTGATGTAACAGATAATAGCAAATAGCCATGCATTTAAAGCGTAAAGCTCTTCCTCAGGCAGCATCATGGGCAGCTTACATCAATCCTTTGATCAATCCTACATAATCAAAATAGTTGTTGTGGTCAAATGGTCAAGTAATGTCTTGTTTAGTTACAAGAATAAGATGGCTAGATAGTTCACAAGCTCATACAGTAATTAAGCTGTTTGATTGCTAAGAAGTGAGGGTAGGGACAGGGACAGGGACCTGAGGGTTTGGAGGCTACCACTTGGCCTAAGCTTTTTCCTGCCAAAAAAACCTGGATTAACAGCTACTGACATCTCACCTCAAGGATGGACCTAATAGAAGTTAAGCACTTTGAAAGCTTAAAGTTGAACCTGGACACCCCTCAGTAACAGGTCCTTTACCTGACACCAAAGCACCTGCTTTCAGTAAATAAGATATAAGAACATAAATTACAGAAATTCCTTTTCATTTTTTAACTTGTTTGTGAATTGCTGTTTTTTATTATAAGATTATTTTAATATTATTTACCAGTGCTACATTGATATTTTGAGTCTTGCTAATAAAAATGCCCTTTTCTGTACAGCATTTATTTACTGTTTGCTGTGTTTTGCTCAGATCAGTAGATTGTGTATTTTGTGTTTGCACACCAATCAGTGTCTTTAATTTTATGCTGCGGCAACAGAAAATGCTGATAAGTGTAGTATTAAGTAATTAACCTGTATGATTTGTTGTTGAATTAGTTTACTGTACAATTGTTCCTTCTTTAAGATAGGTGATATGTACAGTTTTCAGTAAGCAGTCATTAATGACAGAAATATGTAGTCTGTGTGTTCTTTTGTTTTGCTCTTTGTGGAGTTGCATTTAAAACTGAAAATAGGAGGTACTGCTTTATTCAAAGAAGAATTTACCTTGCCACGTTATCGAATCCAGTACCCTGACTCTTTTCAAGAAATGGCTATGTAAGATCCTTGTATCAATTAAACACTAACTTCAAAACTGGTCGATAGGAGACCATTTGGCCTATCAGCTTTTGCTTTGCCTGTTTCTGCACTCAGTCATGAGTTTCTGAGTTTTAAAATTACCCTTATTCAAGCACATTGTTTACAATAACCTGCAACTTTAAACAAAACTTTAATCAGTCATTCCTCAGATTACTGACCCTTATTTCTTAGGAAACCATGATTATTAGATTATTAAACATGCTCATGAAGAACATTTTCAGAAGAGTTCCAAAGGATTTAAGTCATCACACCTGAATGAGGGGATTTAAACTAATAATTTGGTACGGAGTTGAAACCAGATATACATTCCCTCCAACGCTTCAAGAACTTAAAGCAAATTTTAATATTCCCCATCTATAAAAATCAGCCTGTGATTAGGAGCATGTCTGTATCAAAAAGCAAAAGGGACATCGGTCCTCCAGGACCGGGGTTGGGAACCACTGCTGTAGTTTGTGCCTGATTCTTGTTTCATTATTAAGACAGTTCATTGCAAATAACACTAGACATACAATTTATGGTTGGTATTCCCAATGTGGTGCTGCACTGCATAATTGCGGTGCTCTTTGGAGCTTGGGATCTGACTTCTCTATGTAGTTACAGGAGTTTAATTTTCACTCACGGATTGTAAGGCACACACAGACATTCTGTGGTTTAATGAGATTTTGCCTTAAAAAAAATCTTTAAAAGTGCAAGCCATTAAAAGTAACACAGCTATATAGTATAGCAAAAATATGTTTGAGCAACCTTTAAAGTAGTGATGCCTTTCTGTTTGGTTAATTGCACACTGTGTGTCTAATGGATAGAAAACTTTATAGGAAAATAAACTTTAGAAATATAGGGAAAATAAAGGTCTGAGAGCAGTACTTCAAGATCATAAAGGGAATTAATAAATATTCATAATGTTTGACTTACACTATAGTGGATTATGATATTGCTAAGTATTGTTTTGAAATCTAAAAGCAGTTAGAAACCACTTCAGGGAATCCCAGATGTTAAAAACAGACTTCCCTTCTGCATTATCGTATCCATTTCATTTCTAAAAGTGCTTTTTAGCCATAGTTTCTCTGTCAGGGCTTCATAAGTGTGACTTCACAGTCAGCCATTTCATCAGATTGATCATTTTCTCTTTGCAAAATGTTAAGATCTCCAGTGACTTGAAAAAGTATTCAGAATCTGCATGCTTTTCACATTTTGTTGCTTTAAATGTTGCAGCCATGACACCTTGAAATAGCAATTAATATTTGTTATATATTTACAGTACACATCCAAAGCAAATAAACAAGAAAAAAAGAAGTAAAAATTTTATTAGTTTGAAACAATGGAAAAGTCGTGCTTGTATAAGTATTGAAACACATTGCTGTAGGAAATGTAAATTAATTTATGTACACAAAATGACCTTAATGATAAGCAGAATCTCTCCATGCAGTACTAGTGGCTCTTGTGATTTCAAAATAAATACACCCATCTGTTTGGAGTTTCTTGGCCAGCTAGTGATTTTAACCAGAGCTGCAACCACGAAGATGAGGGAGCTTTCAAAGCAACTCAGGGAAGTTGTATGAAGTCGCAGATCAATACAAGAGTATTAAAACATTTCAAAGACTTTGAATATCTTTTTAAGAATGGTGAAACTATTTACGAAGACGTGTAAGGCAACCGGACACTGCCTAGATCTAGCCAGTGCCTCCAAACGGAGCAGCCGGGCAAGAGTTTTGTAACATTAATTCAAAGCACAAGGCCAAGGCTGCACTGGGGTCTCCTTAGGATAAGAAAGTGAATAATGTTCTTGAATGATCCAGTCAAATCAGGGAATCTGTGAAGAATCTTGAAATCTGCTGTCAGTAAGTGATCCTGAAGCAAACAAAAGTTTGAACATATCTGTCCAGAAGAATGGAAAAAAGTACACCAACTCAGTGCAGAGTGCAGAGTTGGTGGAGACTTACCCCAAAAGGAGTGTGGCTGTAATTGCTACGAAAGGTGACTACCTGAATTCTCCTGTAATCAATGTATTTCAGTACTTTTCTCTTTAGTTTTTTCTAATATTTGCTGAAGTCTTGCCCTTAAAAGTTTTTAATATCCACATGCAAGTTTTTAGTAAAATATAAATAATAATTAATATATTAAATAAATACATGCATTGTTCAGTGTGTGATATAATATGCATAGTGATTAAATAATTTGTGCATAGCCTGAAATTGCTAAAACTGTGCAGTTTCACTGTAATTGGAAACATTGCATTATGATTTGGAAACTAAAACAAAATACATTTACAGCACTAGCAATATGCCCAGATCTCCAAAATCTAGCTGTCTTAAAAACAGGTCTCCTAAGGAAAACCACAGCCCAGGCTAGCTCAAGCGTTGTCACTGTGGTCCTGAACTGTGGGTTTAAATGCTTGTTTTTATACCGGCTTCATGTGTCTCTGTTTTCTGTTATTTTGTGTTCCATCATGGATTAATAATAGCATCATCTTTAAATATTTCCTGTTACTTTGAAATCCACTCAGCTGAAAGTTTTGACACATTCTTCTTACCTTTTCTTCATTAAAGTATTAGCCAATTTGCGATTGATAAATGAGACACACAGGGAGGTGAGGGGGTGTGGGCTGGCACAGCTGATTCTTGTTTGTACAATCCAATACAAATAGCCAGGGAGGGATAATGACTTTTTGAGCCATGAAGTTCTGTCTGAGTAATGAAGAAATGTAGAGCATGTTTAATCAACATTGTATTTTAGCTCTCATTCTAATATGAACTGTTTGCACATTTGGTCTAGGTAAAAATGTTTGGAATAGCTTGTATGAACCTTGCTGTCATTTGCTGTTTTAAAGCAGTGAAACGTTGTGTTTACAGTAAGACTTTTTTCTCAATGTTTCTATTTGTAAATGGTGAGAAAACACTGACAATTATGCTGCATTCACTGTATGCATTGTAAAGGTCAATAGGTAGATTAGGATATATAATGAAGTATTAGGATACAGTGTACAGTATGTTGAACAACTATTAATAAAAACTAATTTTTCATCATATGCCTTTAAACGTTATATAATTCCATTGTCCTGAAACAACCCAGTGGTATGATACTGCAGTGTGAACATACTGTACATTGAGTGTGTGTTATTCATGAAATTGAACAGAATGACGGTATTTATTTTGGAATGAATTTCAGAGGATTATCTTTTTAGTCTGCTGCCCCCAATGCATAGGTAGTAATAAACCAAAACGTATTATTATTACATACTAATTAGAATTTGTCTTCTAAACAAACATCTTCTCTTTAATTCTTCTCATTTAATATTGAGGTAAATTGATGAAATTCTTAAAACTTTATTCTTAGTCAGTTCCGTAACATTATTTCTACCAGGATGTTGATTTAAAGAAGCAATTTAGAATTCCACAGTAGAGTTTGTACATTCAAGCACATTCATGTTTTGTGCTTCTGTGTTCTCTGCTATGTTAATCTTTTCAGCTCTTGTTCTGATATCCTTTCTTTTTTCCTCTAGGGATGCCATTCATCATGTTAAGGTAAAGCAGAAGATCTCTCTTTTGAACATGCTAAAGCGATTGGACAAAATAAGGTTTAGAGGTCACAAGCGAGATGAATTCCTTGATCTAGCCGAATCTCCCAATGCATCTGACAATGAATGTAACGATGAAATTCCAGTGAAACCTCGGGCTTCTTTAAAAGACACTGAAGATATCAGAGACCCTGTAAGTACATTTTATGCCATTTTGTTATCTTACTATAACAGTTCTTACACATTGTTTTTATTCTTTACTGATGCATGAACAGTAAAGCATGTCTAGCATGGATAGTGTAGAATTAGGGTACAGTGTGTCTAGTTTATCTTATGTTTGTATGCCTCACACTTACGGTTAACTTAACTAATGTAGTAATCATTTGCTTAGATGTGCAGTAACATGCAGTTACATGTGTCACAAGCCTCTTTCATTCTTGTAAGTATTTAGTTCTGTGTCTTTATAATGGATTTTCTGTACACCATTAAATATGATGGATCAATTTTAGATGTAAATGTTTTTAATCAAATGTGGTATTAAGAGTTTTTAATTTTCTTGTTTATATGATGGAATTTTTACCTAAATATTTCATATTGTCATAACATGAAAGTGAATATGCTCATTGGGAATTAAATTGATATCACAACATATTGATGAAAAAAATGTGTTTTATTTTCAGATAATGTCCTGTGTCATGCAAGGTGTCTCTTGAGGCTGTTGCATAAAATCCCAAGTCAGAGAAATTCTAAAGAATTAGGGAGAAATTGTGAATATCGCAGTGCTACCGAACTGTGTTCATTTAAATACATTTTAATAGCATTATTATTAGTAGTAGTAGTAATTCAGGCTAAACATACTTTGTCAAGTGTTAAGATATGTGTAGTGAAACAATTTGTTATTAATACAATCAGAAAAGGCCAATTTCACTGATTGGTATTCAATATAAATGGTCAAATAAAGGCAGTTTAGGTTTCTTGAATTTTAATCTGTACTACACTTCCGTGAATGTATGTTTAATCTATTGCATATGGAGTAAAAATCACTTGAACTGAAATGACTGTCCCTGATACTTTGATACTTTTTTCATTCATTTGAGATTGACATGAACTTTTTTGTGTTGTCCCTTTTTATTCCTTTTCTGTTAATTTGAAACAGATGTGAGGCATATGTGGCGTTAGCATCTGTCGTCCTCTTTATTCTTTCTGCAGTTTAACTGTGAATATTTAATTAAATTCCATTTTAAAAGCTAAGCTATGGATTGTACTGTGAAAACAAAAACAAAAATTAGGGAGAGATTGTATAATAAATCACGTTATACAAATTTCATAACAAATCATTTGCTGCAATAGAAAGTCTCCACTACATGATGTCTGCTACACTTATAAAAATGCCAGTTCTGATTTGGACTACATTTGGACTGCAGTGCAATGTACCCAGCCTCTGACAGGGTCAGGGCTTGCTTATGTGGATTTAAAACCATGATCTCTTGCTTCTCAGGCATCTCAGTCAAAGACTACAATGAGACGCTTTGCATTTGGTAGCAGCTTAATTAAAAGAATGCAGGGTGGACACAGCTCAGGAACTACTGAACCTATAACGCTAGTATCAGACTATGTTAAATTACTGGTCCTAAAGTTTTCATGGCAGTTCAGAGGAATTACATAACTGCAGTGTGGGTAATTGGGTGTACATGTTTCACCAAGTGCTGAGCTTATCATTTACAGGCAAAGGCCTGGAGAATGATACCTCAGACAGCTGCAGAAAGCATGATTAGTCACGTCCACAATAAATAGTATCCATACTCCCTGGCACTGTCCGTATGAAAAGCATAACCTTTTCCTAAAGGAGCTTACATTTAAGGGCAGTAAAAAAAGAAAACCTCTTACAATGTCAGTTAAGTTTTGATTCTTTCTCACTTACAAAGGAGAGAAGCCTGGGTGAAAAAAGATTATCTTTACAATTCACCCTTATTGCTGACTTTAGCTCTTTGGTATGCAAGCACAGGAAAACATGGAATACCACTGTTAAAATGAGTAATAACTCTTGCAGATTTAATTAAAATTAATTTTATGCACACTATTTTTTCCTCTCTCTAACATGAAAACACAAAACACACTTTTGTTTTCTTAAGAATGCAAAACTGTTGTGCACTTTGACATCTGCTTAGTATATATTTCCCAAAATCCTAGTTTATAATTATATAACATTATAATATAATATTATATTATGCAGTTTTATGAAACTCAGCACATTAAATTCTTAGTATAGCTGCATACATAATGTTTCATTGGAAGTTTACAGACTTTTTCGCCTAGAGCCAAAATTATACAACACAGCTTCAAGGAATGAAAGAACAAAAATGTATGAGGTGTTTATTTTCTCACATCACAGAGTGTTACATAATGCATCTTAAGTTTTTTTCTGTTATACCCTAGGCTGTTCTCTGTTCACCATACGCAATGAGCTTTTTCCATGGACACCATGGACACAAAAGTTGTGCAGTGGTGTTCATGATTGTGCAGATGTTAATGATTTGATCTGGAAATTAAGAAGGTACAAGAAGCGAAAAAAGTAGGGAAAACATGCCTGTTCCATATTATGGAAACACTACCATATTCATTATAACAGCAATATTCTCATTACTAATTTGTATTTACTGCCACATGTAATAAGATTTTCCAAATAAGCTACTGTCTTTATTAGATTAGGCAACTGAAGCATGTTGTCGTGTTTATAGAGCAGGGCATCCTCTTCTGATGGTGTCCTGCTTTGACTGTGCTTACGGATAATCCTGCAAATACAATGGCAGTGCATGACATCACAGATCTAATAAGTAACATCCTTGGTATTGTACTTAACTAAATCCATAATTGACAGATCTGATGCAGTATTGTTTTCAGAATAACAAAAATAACATCAAATGGTTATAAACAAAGGAGGAAATTAAGTTTAACCCATGATTGTTTCTCACCTTTACCATTACCAGACTTTCTTACAATATAATATAACTACTTTTTCTGATATACAAATCTAGCCTCAAAATAATTTTCGGGGGTATTCACTAGAAATCATTGGCATAGCATAGGCTTTGTTTTTTGTAATGCACTGACACCTTCATTTATTTTTTACACAACAAATATTGTTTCTGTTAGTATGTTTCTGATTTGAAAAACTGTTGTCCAAAACAGTAGGCACAGATCATATTTGCCATACAGTAGACTTGGCATTTCGCTTTTAAGACTAATGGCTTCAATAAGGATAAATCTAATGGAGAATTAAGCACTTAATAAAATTATTTCAAAACAATGGTGATTGGAGAAAGAAAATAAGTAGAGTCTATTGCAATCACAGGTAAAAAATTATATTAGAAAGACCAACAGAGATGAAAAGGAGTATTTTAGTGGAGGCTAAAATAAATAATAAAAGGTTCTTTCAATACTACGACTCTATATGATGGACAAGGACAATAATGTTACATCTCTGGACAGTGAGAGGGACATGAGTGATGCTGAAATAGTTTTTCGCAGAGGTATTCACTAAGGATGGTTAAGATGGGCTGAATGGCCTGTTCTCATTTATAGCTGTTCTTTTAGCTTTCCTTAATTTATCCAGTAGGTGTTTTTTAAAGTAAGTCCTAATGCTAAGTGTCAATGTGTTCTATAAGGGAAATTAATTGCCAGTCATTATTCCCTTTGCTCTTACGTAGTTCACTATTCTCACTACAGTGTGAACAACTTCTGCTGAGTGCCCTCTAGATGTTTAGTATAGTGCAAAGGCAGCCAGACCCATTCTCTTATAAATCAAGTGCCTTTGTTGTTCCTTTAGTTGATTTTACTGAAAAAAATTCCTTGGTAGTTTCATATTTGCCATTAATAATAAAGATTGAGAGCTGTGCTGTGTCCTTGATTCAGTGCTGTCTGCAAGAGCTTATTCATAACATAAAGCACTGCACTTTATTGTTCAACTTAGAAGCCAAATCTTACTTCTTCATGGCAAGTAATAGTTCTTTGTGACAAACTAATGCTCTTTAACTTTATTTGGGTGCAGAGAACAGCATGCCAGAAGATTTGACCATGCATTCTTTGATTAGCTTTAGCAAGCGTTTTATTTTAAGTGCTCTTAAATGCACTAACATAAAACTTGCCTTTGTAGCTGCTTTTTGAAATGCCACTTGTCTCACAAAAACATTTTGCTGAAATTAAGTTCACAGCAAGGTTATCAGCTTTCCTTGCTCATTCCTGAGCTGTTAAGCAGATGCCATAATTACCATGCTTCATTGTAAAATGTCTATAGAGATCATAGTCTTTGAACATGGCCATGTTATCCTGTCAAATCCAACATATAGCCTTCTTATTTTCATTTGTGAAAAAAAATGTATTTGTTAAAATGCAAACACAAACTTTTTTTGCAGTATTTTCATTGGTCACACTCAAATAAGAAAATGTCCACCACTGTATCAGTAGCAATTTCACCAGATAGCATACAGGACATTTTAACGTGTAGATTGATGCAATAATCACTTTTAATACATATGAGCATTTGTAGTTAAAACCATTTGTCTTCTATCTTCTGCTTTTTCTAGCAATGGGATTTTGGAATTACTGTTGCAGCTCAAAATAGTTGACATGGGCAATATAATCTGATTGTATCTCAACTTTTTGTCTTTTAATTTTGCTATTTTTTAGGCAGATGCACAACTATATATATGTTATGTAATATAGTTTATCTATTCTTTGAATTAATTGATGATCATTTCATGCTTGCATATATTTTCTGTACATTATTGCAGTGTAATGCAATTATGTTGGATTTCAGTGCATTTCAGTATTCAGTCTCATGTGAAGATTTGTCACATTGAATCTTTTTTTTTGTTTTTGAAGGGACTTAGTCATCTTCCCTTGAGTATTTGTTTAAGCTTACCTTTTGTGTTGATTTTAAATCAACATATTTAAATGAAACAGGGAGGAGATACCACTGACATCAGTGGAGAAAGTATAAAAAATGAATTTAAAAAAAACTCATGCTCAGAAGTCATTATAGTGTTACTGTTTCAATTTTCTTATTTATTGAAAGGTTGGATGTCAATAGCTACTTTTTTAAAACATTTTATTTTGTAAAATTAAAGAAGTGAAAATTTGGGTATAAGTACTTCATGGGCATATATCAGACAGTAGTGTCTTCTTCTGTTTCTTCATAATTAGAAACTATTAAAAGTCCAAATCATATCTATTTCATAAATAAAGATTAGTTGTGCAGCAATCGCTTTTAAAGCTTTAACTACAGTAAGACTTTACTGGTGCTGTTAAATGTTAGTAGTTTGTTACATTTTCAAAAGCATTACTATGTACAGTGTCCTTCAGATTTATTCATACCACCAATGAGATAGGAACAAAAAACATCATGTGATATAAGATCTACAGTTTTAGAGATTAGATTTTTGAAGTTTTTGGGGATATTCCAGTTTTCCTTATTGTGAAATCCTCAGGCTAAAGATGTTCTTTCCTAGTTCGATGGATGTCTAAGAGAGGGAGAGAGATTTTCTTTCACCTTTTGGCGTTTGTGCTGCAAGAGTACAGTAGATACAGATCCATATAGTGCTGGGTCATATTCTTTTATTTAAGATTTCAGGGTATTCCTCTTGTTGGACTGTCAAGGTATTGCATATGCTTTAAAGTTATAAGAACTAGCATCTGGGATGCTGGGTCTGTTGAAAATAGGCCTCTAGGATGCAGTGTTCTGCATATAGTGTAAATGTTGTAAGTGTCTAGTTTTGTGTTATTTTATTATTAGCAAATTATTGTCTATCAAATTGTTATGACTGTGCTAGGGAATAAGGAAAATTGTTCTACTCAAATGCTTGGATATCAGGTTTTAATTAATTCAAGAATATGAATAAATCTAGAAATGTTTCCAATGTTTTGATTAAATAATTGGTAACATTGATCAGCAGTTTCTGGAGCATGCAGAGTTCCTGTTTTCTGGAAGATAATCTATTTAACATTTGAAAGACTATAAAAACAACTATGAAAGGAATTGATGCTTAGAAGTCAAACCTGGAGAACCAACAATACTTTTTTTTTATAACATGGTCATGAACAAAATGATCACTTACAATCCTTTTTAGTTGTTTTAAGAAACAAATTATGTTTTTCTGGTGCTACTGTTAAACATGGCCATCTAACATTGATAAAACATGGGAGATATCAATAATGTGGGTGCTTGGTTTTTGTAGTGTCTTTACAAGATCCTGGTAGATCTGTGATGTTCTGAATATAGTTCTGATTTTGCAAAGTTCCAGTTGTGTGAGCTGGGACCACGTCATCTTTCAGCCCAATACCGTATGCAGATTCCTTTAAAGAGACTTAAGACTTTCTGGTCAGCTCTCTTGATAAAAGTGATATTGCTATGGAAAGGGCTGCTTTTTTCCTGTAAAAAGTGAAATTTAAGGTAGTGAGTAGTTCAATAGCTAATATCTGTCAATTTCAATTTTGTAGATGTCAAATAAAGGGAGGAATACAGTTTTTAAGTATGGTGAATCAGTTGTATTAATGAATACATAGTTCAATTAAATATTAAACATCCTTCTATCCATTTTCTAAGAGCATTACTAAGTACATTACTGCAGGGCAGCTGGAGCCTGTCACTGTAAGCAACAGGCGCAAGACAGGATACACCCTAGTGGGACACCAGTCCATCCTAGGGCACACAGACACAAACACACACACTCACACCAGGGCCGGTTTTCCCAGAAACCAATGAAGCTTTCAGCATGACTTTGGACTGTGGGAGTAAAGTAAAGCACCTGTAGGAAACCCATGCAAACACGAGGAGGACATACAAACTCTATGCAGATGTCTCCCCAGGAATTGAACCTAAGGTCTGGGAGGAAGCAATCCTAAACACTGTGCCACTATGCTGCCCTAAATTAAGTGTTAGAAGTAAATGTAGGTAAAACAAAATGAGAAATTCTCATTAGAAATGTAATGGTTTGATTTTAAATCTGAAAAAAATATTTCATTGTTAGTATTTAGAAAGCTCACAACATAAAGTGCAGTTAGGGAGCTTAGGTTTATCTTGTTCACTATATACCAGTATTTACCGGTATGTCCTCGCTAATTCCTTTCTGTTTAGTCTATAATGGTTGACTATTGCGTTTAATATCCCTGACTTGATTGTGCTGCATTGCTTCCATGCTGCAGATTTAAGAGAATGCAGCTCCCTGCTACCGGTTCTTTAGGAAGCAGCCACGTGATCCGTGCCTATTTTAAGATTAGTTTTCTTTAAAATACTGTAAAGAGTACCTCCCTCTTTTTATATATATTTTTTTTCATTAAACCAATGAAAATGCAGGAGCTATGGCTCGATTTTAAAGTAAAATAACCTGTTTGGGAACATTTGTTTTTCTTGGGCAATGATTTATGGTATATCCCTGCAGCATTCTCACTGGCTCCCTCCCTTGCTCAGCATAGAGCTGTGGTGATTCATTCTGAAGCAGCAAGGAACCTTAAAATGCTGTGGTTTATACTGAGAAAGAACTGATAACTCCAAAATGTTCTGATCTTACACCACTGTAAATCTTACAGTAGGCTTGGTTAAGAATCTTTCTTTGTCTGCATGTTCTTTTTGTTGTTACAGAACAGTTACTTAGCTCAGTGCAGATCTCTGTTTATCGCATATGAATAGCTAGTTTACAGAGCTGTCAAGAAAATTTGTAGCATGTCTGCATTTGAGCAATTGACTCATTAAGAAATATAAGAAGATTATAAGAGGTTTGTATAAGGTTTGTTTTAATCTTTTAGAGGTGCAAACCAAGGAATCTGTAAGTTTCTTTCTTAGTTATGCATGCCGATATTCACATTTCAATATGTGTTGGTATTTAGGCTGTCTAGCTAACCAATTTCATTAATATTTCATTTTTTTCCTTTGTCTCTGTGTTTAGGCTGGTACAGGAACTCTTGCTATGGCTTCAGCAATCCAAGATTTCCAGAGAACAGAATCTGAGAGGCTAAATGAGATCAAGGGTCATCTTGAAATTGCCTTACTGGAAAAACACTTCTTGCGTAAGTACTAAATGCTATTTATTTAAGCTCCTACAGTTATAAATGTGAAACAGAGATACTCTGACTGTTCTCTGCTGCCACAGATTTTGATAGTGTATTTTAGTATATACCTGTACTCCACCACAAAAATGTGCAGGAATTCTCTTTATTTTCATTTGGGTTCTTGAGAACTTGAGTTGTAACTTTGCAATTTATTTACAAATCAATTTATATACAAATACGTGCTTGTACAATATAAACTGAGCTGAAAGGTTTACATTTAGTTGGTAGTGTAAGGTGATTAGGGTATTATATCATATTGTACTGTACATGCAGGTATCTGCATATTCACAGTGCTACTACTACTGAGTAAATACAAAACACAGTTGCAACTCTTTTCATAGTTCTTAATGTTGTTGCACATTTTTAGGTGGAAGGTTCTGGGGTCAATGGCCACTGCTGTACCATTGAGTGAGGTACTTCACTTGAATTTCTCCAGTAAAATGTTTTGCTGTATAATTGGTTGTCAGACAAATACATTTCAACATTATTCTGTTTTCTTTTGCAGTGGTCTCATTAACCATCATATTATGTTCCTAAGTCCCAACATATCTTATTATTATATGTCTGTTTTTTTCCCCATGGGTGAAAGTTGACTAAACCATATTATCTTTGAGACACACAAAATGCTTTACTACTTTGCATGTATTCAGTGTTGACTTTAATAGACTGTATTCGGGATGTTGTGTTTATTTTTGTCAAGTGTATTCTATGGTTATCATGGTGAAAAATAGTATATGTTAATACACATATTAAGAAAATACCTGAATACGTGGTGCAGTTTTTAAGAAGGTAAAAAATGTCTTACTGTAATTTAATTCTCTGTTTTTCTTAGAACCTGATAAAGACAAGAGGAAATGAAATACAAATGAGAATGTTATTCATATGGTCTTTTATATGGCTTTGTGATTATAATTTTAAAACATTTCATAATTGTTTTCTTTTTCATTTTCCAATGTGAAAAATCGTAGTAAACAGATATCTTTTTCAACAGCCTGGCTGATTACCTAGTCCCTTTATTAAAAATGTGTATATTGAAGCAGGGCTGCAGTGAAGGCTCCTGTTTTACAAAACACTTGTAATAGAAGCTTCTTTCAACATGCTCTTTGTCTTCTGAGCTCGAGCAATATGCTTTTCAAGTTGCACAATGGTTGTACAAGAATTAGCATGCTCTTGGCAATCTGGTTAAGTGGCTGTCTGTTTAGCCTGTGGGAAAAACTGTGCTGCAGATATTATTTTACTGTTTGTTATAGAAGTAACAAGCTTTGGATCTTCTCAAAAGGTATATGCAGACATTTCAATTAAGACTTGGATGAATTGATTAGACCTCTGGGAGTAAAAGGGTCCTTTTCTCTTCATTTCAGACCTTGAGATGTACCAGTGACAAATAGTAAGGCATAAAATAGACCTAGAGAATTATATGTTAGCCAGGTTCTAATGATGCAGGTAGCAGCACTGCAGAGATGGGTAACTCATGGCAGTCTCTAGTGTACAGTGAAAAGAGACAACCTAGGCTGCATTCTCTGTGGGTTTTTTGTATGGAGCACAGTGCTCCCAGGTAATGGTGCAGTATCGTTTGAATTTAATCCTTATTTGTGCAGTCATCTCCACCAAAGGGAGCATTTTTATTACAATTTAAGTACCTTGACTAGTATTTTGCAAGTATACAATAAAATGAAGATTACAACCTTTAGCATGATTTTTTGTATTTCATTCAAAAACTTGCAGCATAACATGGATACTTGTTCTTTTCAAATATCAGCAAGTTACAGTATATTATGCTTAACAATCCTATATTAGCCCAAATTCTTTATGAAGCATTCAATCTTCATCTGTTTATGGAAGTTAATGAAATGCCTTCTTATTTATTTTTTTACTACAAATTTCTTGAATTTTTTGAGTTTCTCATAAAATTGTTTACAGGTGGTTAGATAATTTGATTCTAGTTCAGATTGCTCAGAAGTCTGAGTACATCTGATTATTGTCCTGGTATGTGTTCAAACTCATCAATGGATTCATGGGAGTCTGTAATGTTTCTTAATAATTAATCATAATTAATGATCCTACCTACATATTATAAATAATCATAAATAATGTAACAGTGTTTGACGTTTAGAGTAATAAGTCACGTCTCAACAAGAAGTATAAAGGCTTCTTATTCTGTACTTCAGCAATGTAGAACTGCCTGAACTAAGAGTAGTATCATTGTGGATGAACAACAACATAATTTGTTACCACTCTGTTTCAATACCAAGGTCCTTCCGGGACATTTATAAGAAGCTTTGTATTTTGCTTTCTTTTATTAACATAGAGGTATATTTTAATCACTAAGGATGACTTGAGAAGGAAAGTCTATTTTTGTAGAACATTTGTTGTGTACTCAAATATTCTACTAAACCATCAACTTAATACTTGGTCACCATCATAGACTATTATGGTTTTTGCTTCTTAGACTCTGGAACAACATTGATGGAATAAATGGTAGACAAACAGATAATGTAGTGGAAAAGGTCTTCTTTAGGTGTATTGTAACCCACAATTATAATTTGTAGTGTGAGCCATAAGTTTTTTAACTTTTATGAAACAAGTTCATTTGAAGGATTGCTCTTAAAAATGGGTAGGACTCTCCATTCGACTCCAGACAGTAAAGGTGCATATTCATAGTTAAGGTTGAGCTGTAGTTCTGACATTTCTTGAAGTGTAGGCTAAATCAATCCTGCTGTTAACAAGTTCACTGTTATAGAAACTGATGCACAATATGTCTGGACATCACGGGGATATGGATGGATTTGAGTTTGGTGTTCTCCTCTTGTGGTGCAACAGGCACTCCTGAGACTTGTCAGGTGTCTGGGAGCCTGCAGTGTTGTCAGCAAGAGCTTGATCTCCCCACCAGCTCTTTTCTTTTTTATGTTCTTCTTTCTGCAGTTCCACTTCTGATCAGCAAAACAAGATAATGCAGCAAGTAAATATTTACATACCATTATCAAGAGACTTATTGCAAATAATTTCCTTACCAAAGAAGTCACCTTTACTCACTTCTGTCCTCTCCCTAGTTTCTTGGAATATTGTTATGTTTAGCATGTAATATACTGTATTCTCTATTCTCTACTTTTTTCTTTCACTAATAAATCATTGTCCTGTATTTTTACTATGCCTCACTTCTTTACAAATAAATGGTTACTTAGCTTATTTTACATTAAACCTCGTGCTGGCTGTTTCAGTGCCTCTTGTTTGGGCGTTTTCAGGTGAGGAAGTCACACTTTTATTACCACTTATTTCCATCTCTTCCAGAAAAGATCTTGCTGCATCAGCACCTCATTGCCCTAATCAGACCTCAGTTCTGACCTTGGACAATAACATTCCATGCTTCAGTGAGCTCCTGTTCAAGCAAGGGTTTTGTATGCTGATGACCAGTGATATCCCAGAGGTATCCGTCCACACTTGATGAGGTTTATATCTTGATTTGTCAAAGAAAAGCTCGTCAGCTCATTAGATCTAATTCCAGCAGACATGTTGGCTAGCAAAATCTCATATATCTGGAATATATGTTTATTTTACAACCTGGTGAGGATGGATACCTCTTTCATGTAGATGTCACAAGGCCGTACTGGATCTAATGCTGCAATATTCAGGAAGTATGTATGCAGTTTGTTAAGCATTTTGAAAGTGATTGAAAGGATTTTCCTGGGCAGTTATTACTCTGTGTCTTCCACGTAGTATCAAGTCACATCTGATTGTAGTTGCTTGGCAGCATCTTCTGAGATTTCAAATAGTCTCGTTACACAACGTGCCATGTCTCAAATTGAGAGACCAGCTAATAGCATGCTATTGCTCTCCATTTACAATGACCATATAATCTGAATGACACAAATATGAGCTAGATTTGGACTTTTCCTGTTTTCTCACCTGATGCATGTCTAATCACTATGATCTAGACAAGCAAGTTAGTCTAGTTGTAAACAACTACAAATGAATTAAGAGTGCATGTTTGCACAGGGTCTCCTTAACCTTAAAAATAACTGAAATTTGCTTTAGTTGTTGTACAACAATATATTTATAGGCAAGAAAATTACAAGGGAGATACACTAATAGAATAATGATCCTTCTACAATGACTCAAATTCAGTAAAAATGGAGTCTATTTAATGTGTAGTGAAACTGAAAAAAACAGTCCTTTCCTTTTCTTTTTTGCAAAAGAAGATTTTGCATAGTGTGCACCTCAAATGTGCCCTAGATTCTGTTCTTTTAGGTTGTTTTAGACTTAGTTTTTTAGTGGCTCTTTGGGAGATGAATGCTGCCCAGTGTCTACCTCAATTCGGCTTTCTCATGTCTTTTGACAATACTTTGCATTCCCACTGGGACCGTAGCCCAGATTCAGAGTTCATAGACTTTTTTGTACTGATAGGACTTGCATGTCTCTACAAGCTGTAAAGTGTTAAGGACAAACTTAATGGTTTATTGTCACCATACCAGTAGGTACAATATGGTTTGTAGAAATATCCTGTCTTAATTATAATGTTAAATGAATGATATGGTTCACATATCTTGTGTAGTGTGTTAGTGTAGAAACACTGATTCCTACTAGGGAATACTAGGATGAATAGAATGTCTGTTCCAAGACAAAAAGGCAAAAACAAGGACATTGAATAACTTGCAGAGTGTGTTACTAATCCACTTCAAAAGAAGTGTCATCATTGCAAAGTTTAAATTGTGTCTTTGGATACCTTGGTATCATTGTGGAGCTTTTGTATGTTCGTACTGTAGATATCCTCAGGCAGTACCTACTTAAGATAAACAGTCTTTGTTCAAGGGCTGGTCTTCGGAATATGTAATATGTAGGGAATGACCCCTGTTTAATAGAGAACGAAAGAACATTCACCTTTAAATGCATAAATAAATGTGGAATATAAGAATCAGACTGAAGACTACTCATAGTAGTGTGTTTTTACTGCCTTGAAAATA